AATGCCTTGGTACTCAAACAATTTGGAACCCAAACACTGCAAACCCGGAAGTAAGTGTTCCAGTTTGCGAACTATTTTCAGAAGCTGAACGTGCTCCATTTTGAGTGTTATGCTTCCGATTTGAGTGCCACACTTCCATTTTGAGTGTTATGATGAGGTCTGTCTGTTTTTGCTATTTATTTTGCATTTTTGTTTTTGCGGCTCTTTTTTGTTTGTTTTTGTGACTGTGTGGAACCCAGTTCAGCTACTGATAGATTGATTGTGTGACTGCAGTACATTGTTTATTGCTTTCATTTTATGGATCAATGGTCTCGTTAGATATTAAAATTCACGTTAAATTGCTGTTTTAGGGGTTGTTTTTAAGAGTCTGGAACGGATTAATCCATTTTGTCTTACTTTCCATGGTAAAGTGCACCTTGGTTTTGGAACGCTTTGGTTTTGGAACAGACTTGCGGGATGGATTAAGTTTGAGAACCAAGGTACCACGGTATCTGGGGGCATTGCTACTGCCCTGTAAATTAAGAGAGCTCATTTGTTTCCACTGGCAGCATTTGAAATGGTATTCACCATGCTTAACATGCAAGAAAAGTATCTCAGAGCTAACATCCGATCCCGTCTGTGTTTATGGGATGTTAAGCTCTCTCTGCAAGCGCCTCAGGCTTCACCCTGGCTTCTAATATGCAGCTCATCTACTTTTCCAAAGCATGCAAATTAGCTGCCAGTTCAGCTGAATAAGGAGACCTGCCTCCATTTGAAGGCATTGCATTTGATATTACCTGAAAGCTTTTCTTCAGGTATCAAGCTGAGGTGTCTTATCTATACATGCAAGTGATCACTACCTAGTGCACTCATTGACGGATGAACTTTATCTTCAAATTTTTCCAAGTCTTCAAGCCAGAAACACACACATCTGAAAGAATCATAGAATCATAGAGTTGGAAGAGACCACAAGGGCCATCGAGTCCAACCCCCTGCCAAGCAGGAAACACCATCAGAGCACTCCTGACATATGGTTGTCAAGCCTCTGCTTAAAGACCTCCAAAGAAGGAGACTCCACCACACTCCTTGGCAGCAAATTCCACTGTCGAACAGCTCTTACTGTCAGGAAGTTCTTCCTAATGTTTAGGTGGAATCTTCTTTCTTGTAGTTTGGATCCATTGCTCCGTGTCGGCTTCTCTGGAGCAGCAGAAAACAACCTTTCTCCCTCCTCTATGTGACATCCTTTTATATATTTGAACATGGCTATCATATCACCCCTTAACCTCCTCTTCTCCAGGCTAAACATGCCCAGCTCCCTTAGCCGTTCCTCATAAGGCATCGTTTCCAGGCCTTTGACCATTGTCAAAGTGTTCAACCATGGTGTTTTTAGGGCTGCTAAAATATAAATAAATGACAACACACACACACATTTGAGACACATCAGCTACAAAGGGGCATTTTCAGGTTTTCAGCGGAGGAATTTAAAGGGATGCTGGAAATCCGACAGGTCCATTGGGCTGATAGCTGCCATTTCAGATTAGTGTGGTTATACATGGGATAGCTCAGTTAGTAGAGCATGAGACTATTAACCTCAGGGTCGTGCGTTTGAGCCCCACATTGGGCAAAAGAGTCCTGCATTGCAGAGGGTTGGACTAGAGGACACTTGGGGCCCCATCCAACTCTACAGTTCTATGATGGCAGGCCTCCTGTTTCTGCAGTTTGATGTGCAATCTAAATGGGGAAGAGCTGTAGCTTAGTGGTAGAGTTTCTGCCTTGCTTGCTGAAGGTCTCAGGTTCAGCCTTTGCCACATCCATGTTGGCTGGGAGAGAGCCCTGTCTGAAACGCTGGAGAGCCTGTACTAAAAAGGTTTAAAAAAAGTTAAAGGACCCCTGTATGGTTAAGTCCAGTCAAAGGCGACTATGGGGTTGCGGCGCTCATCTTGCTTTCAGACTGAGGGAGCTAGCATTTGTCCACAGACAGCTTTCCGGGTCATGACTAAACTGCTTCTGGCGCAACAGGACACTGTGACAGAAACCAGAATGGACACAAACGCCATTTACCTTCCCACTGCAGCTGTACCTATTTATCTACTTGCACTGGTGTGCTTTCGAACTGCTAGGTTGGCAGGAGCTGGGACAGAGCAACGGGAGCTCACCCCGTCCCAGGGATTCGAACCACCGACCTTCTGATTGGCAAGCCCAAGAGGCTCAGTGATTTAGACCACAGCATCACCTGCATTGAGCTAGTTGGATCAGTGGTATGACTCAGTATGAAGGCAGCTTTCTAGATTCCTGTGCCGCTTTGTGTTTGCTCTGTTTTAACAGAATGTCAATGGAGGTATCGGTGGTGGTGAGAAATCTCTTATTATTCACTCAGTCTTCTGATTCACTTCATCAAATAGCAATTTGTCATATTATTGTCACTTGGTTTGAATTGACTTATCTGAAACAGCTTAATGGAACGTAAATATGAAGATGGGCGTACCCCCCCCCCGTTGAGAAATAATGATTCCGTATGTTTATGACAAATGCATTGAGGGGAATGAAGGATAGTGTAAATAAAGTGTGTGATATTTTAGCCTTTCCAGTAACACAAGCAAGGAATGCATAAAATGTGATGAAGAGGCAGTAAAGGTAAAGGTAAAAGTACCCCTGCCCGTACGGGCCAGTCGTGTCCGACTCTAGGGTTGTGCGCCCATCTCACTTAAGAGGCCGGGGGCCAGCGCTGTCCGGAGACACTTCTGGGTCACGTGGCCAGCGTGATGAATCTGCTCTGGCGGAAACGCCGTTTACCTTCACGCTATAAAGCGGTACCTATTTATCTACTTGCACTTAGGGGTGCTTTCGAACTGCTAGGTGGACAGGAGCTGGGACCGAAAGACGGGAGCTCACCCCACCACGGGGATTTGAACCGCCGACCATGCGATCGGCAAGCCCTAGGCGCTGAGGTTTTACCCACAGCGCCACCCGCGTCCGGAAGAGGCAGTAAGGGGGCTTAAAAAAAATTCACCCCGCTTTTCAACACTCAAAAGACACCATCAAATTCAGCACTTATAAAGAAGAAGAAGAGAAGAAGAGTTTGGATTTGATATCCTGCCTTTCACTCCCCTTCAGGAGTTTCAAAGCGGCTAACATTCTCCTTTCCCTTCCTCCCCCACAACAAACACTCTGTGATGTGAGTGGGGCTGAGAGACTTCAGAGAAGTGTGACTCATCCAAGCTGCATGTGGAGGAGCGGGGAAGCGAACCCGGTTCCCCAGATTACAAGACTGCCGCTCTTAACCACTACACCACACTGGCTCTCAAATGTTGGTTGTGGGAGTGTAAGTGGGTTCAGGGGGGCAAAAAAGAAGGACAGATTGATAGCTAGCAGACAATGTAATCAGCCAGTAACCACAGACTCACACAATTTAGGGTGGTGTGGTTGGTTCCCCCGAACAGAGTGCCGAGCCAAGGGGGCACAAAATAATAATAATAAGACCTATATTTCTACCTAGGAAGAAGATCCATTTAAGAAGTGGCTGTGCCAAAAGGAATAATTGTGAAAATAAGATTTTTTTGGAGGGAGGGGAGATTTTGTCCTCCCTCAGGGCGACATATTGCCAAAGTATGCCCATGCACAAAATACCACACACACACAAATATTTGATGATAATCACAGAAATTGATAAATAGAACAACTCCACAAATACATCTGGTTGGATCTAGAGATACTTTCCTGCATGCAAAGGTAACTTTCACTCACAATGGGCGGTTTTAACCCTTATACTAGATTTCTTCTGCAGGTGGAAGCTAGGAAGAAACTAATTATTACATCATTCCCATAACTGTTTTGTTAGCACCTATATAAATGTTTATGGAACAGTGCAAGTGACTATTTTCCTTCTACTCATGGTTCTTGAGATTTATCCTAATGGTTAGTTTATATATATGTACTTTACATTAGAAGCATCAGCTATTGACCACAGTTGAACAAAATTCTTCCCTCTGTTGATTCAGGGTAACCGAAACATACAGCTATTAACTTCTTCTCCTTTCCTTAGGGCAGATGGCAGACCCTCCTGACCAGCAAGCACTAATTCTATGATATAGAATACAGGTGATTTATTAATGGGTTGTAAGCTAAATTCAGCCTGAACAATCAGTTTTGTATCTCTCTCTGCACACATGGATGTATGATGAAACCCAACAAATGTTGTCTCCACCAGAGCTTGCTGGTCATTTGATCTTTTATGATGACTGCCCAAAGAGTCCATAACATGAGGGAGCAATATAATGGGATCTCTGCTCTTCCTCAGTCCATCAGTCGAGAAATCCAGAAAATATTGGCTAGTAATTATGTAGGTAGTACTCATCTAGGTGTTGTTGTTGTTTAGTCGTTTAGCTGTGTCCAACTCTTCATGACCCCATGGACCAGAGCACGCCAGGCACTTCTGTCTTCCACTGCCTCCCGCAGTTTGGTCAAACTCATGCTGGTAGCTTCAAGAACACTGTCCAACCGTCTCGTCCTCTGTCGTCCCCTTCTCCTTGTGCCCTCAATCTTTCCCAACATCAGGGTCTTTTCCAGGGAGTCTTCTCTTCTCATGAGGTGGCCAAAGTATTGGAGCCTCAGCTTCAGGATTTGTCCTTCCAGTGAGCACTCAGGGCTGATTTCCTTAAGAATGGATAGGTTTGATCTTCTTGCAGTCCATGGGACTCTCAAGAGTCTCCTCCAGCACCATAATTCAAAAGCATCAATTCTAGGTAGATGAGTAGAAATGTCAGCCATTGTGCGTACTCTCTGTTAGGATGACTGGGTGGTTGAATGACCTTTCTGATCTTGTGTAAGCTGCTATTTTCTTTGGGAGGAAACACTGCTCATGGACACTGATACAAATCATTGCTTGAGGGCTATGGGAGAGGGATACATTGGGTGGTTGAGATTAAACACCCCCATCCCAATCTTTCCATTTGGATGCTTCTCATAAACTGTGACTCATACTTTTAAAATCATGCATATTCATTTAATTCATGCAATGTACATGGTGTCTGCTTGGTTCCTAAGTCAGGGTATCAGAGAAGAATGTAAAGTGAAGTAAAGAAATTTCCATTCTGATTTCAAATTTGCAATTGCCCAAGACATGGCATTCAGGAATGTATTTATGGTTGTCAGGAAATAAAGTATCATTTATGAGTAATGTTAACATGAGGGGAAGTATCACCCGGTGGCTAATCAGCTGGTCTTGGGATCTCAGGGACGTTATGTAACTACTGATGAGATGAAATATTCCAGCCCACTGAAAATGCAGATTTAATGAAGGATACAATTTCAGTTGTATTAGCTAAAGAACCTTTCTTGAATAGATGCTACACAATGGATTTGAGCAGTCAGCTACAACTAGGCAGTGAAGATTTTTCCACCCTCTTTTTGTTCACACTTTCATTTGAAGTGTATCATTCCTTCCAATCATTTCTCGCCATCTCTTCTGCCTTTCTGAAATCATATGCCAGAAAATTATTCTCCTTCCATAAGGAAAGAAAGAAAGAAAGAAAGAAAGAAAGAAAGAAAGAAAGAAATTTCTAGAAACACTGGGTTGAACAAAGCTTGCTTTCAACTTCAGGAAAGGGAAGAAAAACTAAGGACCGGAGCAAAAATTGGCTTGCATGAACAAATACATCATTGCAAAACCAGCTCAGATTATCAGATTAAACAGAGAAGCCTATTCAAGCAAGATAGGGTAAAAAAATAAAATAAAATACATAACTTTATAAACCAATTGTTCAAGGACACTCTAAGCCTAAGGGAATGATTGCTCAAAATGAAATCTGTCCCCCTTCCCCTTTTCTACGGAATTTTATTTTATTTCTGAATTAAATTAAGGTTGAAACAAATCAGGCAACAAAAAGGAATACATATAGCAATACAAGAAGATAATGAAGACTGTAACCCTATACATGAGTGCAACACAGCAATCCATAGCACAATATGATACTGCAGGCATTTCCCTGTACTTGGGAATTGGTCAGCTCTGCCAGATTCCACTAGCACAGGGTCTCCACCTTCTGCAGAAGTCTTCACTGTGTTCACTCAGAGTGCGGATGGGTTGAAACTACCACCAGCAGTATCCCTGCTAATGGTAGTCTGCATAAACCCCTGAATGGGGGATGGCCAAGAACATAAGAATATTCTGCTGGACCTGTCCAATGGCAACTTATTCTCAGTGGCCAACCAGACGCCTGTGGGAAACAATTGAGCAGAACATGAGCACAAGAGCACTCTCCACTCCTGTGGTTTCCAGCAACTGGAATCTGGAAGCACTGACAGCTCCAGCTGTGAAGGCACAGCATCACCATCATGGCTACTGGCCATTGACAGTCTTCTTCTCCATGAATCGGTCTGATCCTCTTTCAAAGTCATCCAAATTGTTGGCCATCGCTGACTCCTGGGCAAGCGACGTTCCATAGCTTGACTATTTGCTGTGTGAATAAGTACCGTATTTTTCGCTTTATAAGACGCACCAGACCACAAGACGCACTTAGTTTTTGGAGGAGGAATACAAGAAAAAAAATATTCTGAATCTCAGAAGCCAGAACAGCAAGAGGGATTGCTGCGCAGTGAAAGCAGCAATCCCTCTTGCTGTTCTGGCTTCTGGGATAGCTGCACAGCCTGCATTCGCTCCATAAAACGCACACACATTTCCCCTTACTTTTTAGGAGGGAAAAAGTGAGTTATGGAGCAAAAAATATGGTACTTTCTTCCATCTTTCCTAAATCTTCCAACATTCAGATTCACTAGATCTTACATTGGCTCAGCTACCATCTATGAGACCAATCTGGTCCTCTGTGCTCCCACAACAACAAAAATTAAAAGCTGGCAATTTGACTACCAAACGCCTTGTGGTAAATTCAGCTTTGGTGCTCCCATCTGGGAGTTAGGATTGCTTGTCCAAAGTCCAGTTAAACTCACAGGTACTGAGTGGATATGCATGGGACTATCAAGAAACACACTGATTGCAATCTTTAGTTGATTGTGGATATGCTTGTGAGACAACTGGAGGAAAACAGACAAAGGAGAATCTCACTAACTATGGAGAGATTGAAAATATAAATTATAAAGCATATATTATGTATCTAACCTACAATAAATATATTGGCATCTGTACATGATTGGCATTTGAAGGGCTTCCACAAATGTGGTGGTGGTGGTGAGACTGGAAAGCACACTGACATAATAGTGTTATGAGTTTTTGGGTGCCAGATTTCTTATTCTAGGGCAAATATTTTCAAACTTTTTTGAGGGGGAACTCTGAGATCCTTCACAAGCTTGTCGAGGTTACTCAGTGAGGAGATTGAAAATTCTTCTTTCTGCCCATCCAATTTCTGAAATACTACACTGAATTGGCTCTCACATGATCATCAGGAAGTCACTGCGTCAAGCAGAATATCCAGTGGCAGAAAAGAAACAGTACAATAAGAATAATAGTAGAATTTCCTATGGTGGTCCTAAATTGTCACAAATGGTTGCCTAGTGTGAAATTTTGAATTAGGAGGCATCAGGGACTTATCCAAGGACTGTTTGTGCACAGTGTGTTTAGCATCAGAGTCCTCTTCACGCAACTATTGAAAGAGTGGTATGCGACATACCCTCTTGTGATTGGTAGACAATATTAAGCCTCTTGATTGGTCAGACCTAGTATAAACATTAGGGGCATATTCTTCTGTCCTTGCTATGTCAACAGTGCGGGAACTTCTCCCAGCTTCATCTTGCAAGGACTGTGGCTCCAGACCTAAATGTGGCCTGGTTTCTCAAGGCCCAGCCAGACCCTGGCATTGGGTTCTTGCTGAGGTGAATCTTTTTTAAGCAAAAAGAGTTTTGATGAATACTGACATTTCTGAAGGAGTTTATGAATATCCCATATGTGAACTGGACTATACATTGCCATTTCTTGTTTATACACTGTGAAGCAAGAATGGGGAGCTTTTGCTCTTCTGGATATCAGACTGCAACTCATTCTCAGTATTGACCATCAGCCATGCCAGTTAGGGCTGCTAACAACAACAACAACAACAACAACAACAATAACAATAATAATTTATACCCCGCCCATCTGGCTGGGTTTCCCCAGCCACTCTGGGCAGCTTCCAATAAAACACTAAAATACAATAACCTATTAAACATTAAAAGCTTCCCTAAACAGGGCTGCCTTCAGATGTCTTCTAAAAGTTTGGTAGTTATTTTTCTCTTTGGCATCTGGTGGGAGGGCGTTACACAGGGCGGGTGCCACTACCGAGAAGGCCCTCTGCCTGGTTCCCTGTAACTTGGCTTCTTGCAGCGAGGGACCTGCCAGAAGGCCCTCGGCGCTGGACCTCAGTGTCTGGGCAGAACGATGGAGGTGGAGACGCTCCTTCAGGTATACTGGACCAAGGCCGTTTAGGGCTTTAAAGGTCAGCACCAACACTTTGAATTGTGCTTGGAAACGTACTGGGAGCCAGTGTAGTCCTTTCAAGACCGGTGTTATATGGTCTCGGCGGCCGCTCCCAGTCACCAGTCTAGCTGCTACATTCTGGATTAGTTGTAGTTTCCGGGTCACCTTCAAAGGTAGCCCCACATAGAGCGCATTGAGAGATATAATTAAGCAACATCCATAGGGTTGCCCACTCCCACTGTAGATCATACCTGGACCTTTTAGAAGAGATTAGAGTATTTCAGAGAACACCCTCGCCCCCTCATTTTATTAGCTCGAGCAATTTGCAGTCTGCATAAACAGGTGCTGTTCACAGCCTTAATGGTTTGTTTGAGTGCATGGATTTCTGCTGAAGAAACACTGTTCCCTAGATTAGATTTTCATGGTGGAAGAATTTGAAGGGTATTTGACTTTAAAACTCTGGGTGAGTACATCTGGTACTTTAACCATCCATTTGGACTCTTAATAGTAGCTGTTAACACCTGAGATGATAAATTAGCAGATGCCTTTCAAGCTGTTTCTTCACTTCAAGCCTCATTTACTTCAACCTATTCACTGTAAAAACAAACAATGCACAATTAAAAAGGGACCCCAGCCATACCCAAAAATACACGAAGGCTTCTTATTAAGGATACATGAAGCAAGCAGAATGTATTACGGGTAGGGAAGGTAATGATCCAAGTTAAAGAAATATGAACAGGGGGGTTGAAGAGATACAATGACTTGGCTTGTCAACAGGTATTGAAAGCATTCCCATCACAATGCAAACTTGGCACTGTTGCAAAATGATGTCCCTTCTCTTTTGAGAGCTCTGTGGGAATGAGAGAGTTTAGCTCCCCACACATAATATACCAGAGGGGAGATCCTTCAGTTAAATTCAAAGTGTAATTTAATGCCTTAATTCACAATTTTCCATCTCTGCAATGGCATGCAAATATTTGAATATTTGGAATCTATTTACAGTGTTTTCAAGGAAATGTTTTGTGGCAGGATCAAAGTCTTAATACTCATAATTTTGAAGCTAAAATACACAGTCAATATCTTCATATGCACTAGCCCTCTCTATCCTCTCAGATCATGCTTAGTTTACACTAGCAGACATTTCCTCCAAAATTAGTTTATTTAGGAAACATATACAGTGGTACCTTGGTTTTCGAACAGTTTAGTTCTTGAACAACTTGGAACCCAAACGCTGCAAACCCGGAAGTGACTGTTCCAGTTTGCGAACTTTTTTTCAGAAGCCGAAAGTGCTCTGTTTTTAGTCCTCCACTTCCGATTGGAGAGTTCCTGTTTGAGGGTTCCATTTCTGATTTGAGTCCCCCACTTCCAATTAGATATTTGGAGCTTATATTTGGTGCTTTTGCTTTTTTGTGTGTTTTTGTTTGTGTGGCTTTTTCAGTTAATTTGTTTTTGTGACTGTGTCAAACCCAGTTCAGCTACTGATTGATTGGTTGATTGTGTGACTGTGGAAATGAATAAAAGTTGCAAAGCCAAGAGAACCATTAACAGAACAACAACAGAAGTAGTAAAATCCATGTTTAAATTCTATTTTAGGGGTTGTTTTTAAAAGTCTGGAATGGATTAATCCATTTTGCATTACTTTCTATGGGAAAGTGTGCCTTGGTTTTGGAACACTTTGGTTTCGGAATAGACTTCCAGAATGGATTAAGTTTGAAAACCAAGGTACCACTGTACATGGCAATAAGAATTATATGGAGAACATATCCTGAGTATCTCATGAAGTGCTATATATAATAATTACAACAGTTTTTTCCATGGCTTCATCCCATCTCATCATGGTTCAAAAAGTCATACTCCCACAGAGAGTGGCAGGTGACCGGTTCTGCTCACATGATTCTGGATTTCAAATCTTAACATGGTGGCTTCAAAAACATGAAGTGTCCCATAAGATTTCAAATCTGCATTTCTTGCTACTGAATTGCAGTAGCAAGAATCAGTACCTATGTCCAAATTACTAGCATCATTTATTACACAAGAGTCATGGATCCCTTCCTCCTGATTCTCACCCCACCCAAGGTCCTATTTTTGGGGTGCAGTGTATCCTGGCGAAGAGGAAGCCATCAGGAAGACAGTGAAAAGCTAACAATGTGTTCCCTACAGTAACATTACCAGCCATTCTGAGTCCCAGAAAGGAGTGCAGTAGAGACAGGGACTGTGTCTTAATTCCCTGAGGAATTGCTCCATAGCAGCACAACAGCCTGAAGCATGGGGACTTTTTGGATTCGAAATCCATCTTCCAGGTCAAATTGGAACACTTCATTTTTAAGTGGCAGATGCTGACTGGAAGAAGAGATACAGGAATTATGGCTGGAGGATGGGAAAGCTCAGTAATTGACTTGACCACTTTAGCTTGTTTGGCTCACGGCATTTTTTCATCTCTCACTACCTGTGCCAAGAAAACATCTATTGTAGACGAAAACAATCTGTCAGCAAAAAAAAAAAAGGGGGGGAGACCCCTTGTTAAATTTTATTCCTTGGGTCCATTGTTACTGGAAGCATTCGGCCTTTAAACACTTTTGCCATTTCCCCTCCCAGTTTCTTTCAACCGTAACTAGGACTGTACAACTTTGGAGCTGTCTGCATTTGTCTTGAGCACTGAGAACATAAATCAAAGCTCCACCGGTCCATCTTCAGCAGTCAGTAGAGGAGAAAACACTGTCTGAATCCTAAAGCTTCTTCTTGTTTAACAACCCCCTGAGATTGACGATCAAGAAAAGAAGTTTGGCAACTTCAGTCTCCTCACTAAGCTGAACTTCAGATTTCCACCAGCTTTCTCCAAAACATTACCTGGGATTCAGATGAGGGCAGGGGAGAGTTAAGATAATATTAAAACTTCCCAGTGGTTTTTTTTCACATTTCTAAGGTGCCATCAAGTTTCATTCAAAGAGAATAATAATAGTAATGATAATAATAATAATAATAATAATAATAATAATAATAATAATAAATAATACATTTTATTTATATCCCGCCCTCCCCAGCTGAAGCCAGGCTCAGGGCGGCTAACAACAATAAAATAATACAACATTCTAAAATCTGATATTTGATAGCTCAAAGATCAATGAGTGGTCTCACTGATGCCCAATTAGAAAGAATTGCTACTGAAATTTTGTCCTGTCTCCTCCAAATCTGAAGAAAATCCAAGGAGCTCTCAGCTGGAATCCTGGTGGTGTTTGTGGGAAGCCAAAAGTACTGAATAATGTTAGCAAAAACTCTCATTTGCAAAATATATGTAGTATTTTTGAAAGAAACTTCAAATTATTCTGATGATATTGACAAGGTTTCTCAGTCACCCACCAGAGGTCCTTCTCAGCAATAGCTACCTAGTTTGGGATAGCACTTCCTCTTTAATTAAGGCTGATATCAACTTTGTACAGTTTTAGGCACTTGAAGATTTTCAACTTTTTATAGGCTGTTGAAGGTTGTGATATTGTCTGCTGAGGTCAGAAATCTACAGAGTATTGCTGTTATGCGATGTTGGCTATTGTGTTTTATGGATGGCCTCTTCTAAAGAAGGGTGAGTTCCAAGTTAAAAGGTTATGGAACAGTTATAATGTACCAAACGTGTATGGTCAGTTTCTTTGAAAGCAGAAATATCTGTGAAGATAGCACAGTTTTGCACTTCCTTCCCAATGGCCGCTGATTGAACCATGTCAGTAGCCATTTCCAGTCATTATCCCCTTCATAAGATAATGACGAGAGGGCAGAGTGGTGTGCCCTATTTTGACACTTGAGGTGAAACAGGAAGTGCTGCCATGCTGCCCCTCTGCCTCCGCGAGATCTCACTGGAAATCAGTGTCACTTCTGCACTGGTGGCAAAGGTGGTAGGGTACCCATAGGGGTGCTATCTGGGGGCTTCTGCTGCCTGACTTTGTGGCTTCGCCCCGCCTAATGGGGATGAGCCAACAGTGATGGGCAGGGAACCTCACCTCCCATCGCCTGCTTTGATGAAGCCTACTTGGTGGAAGGACAAAATGGTGGCAAAGTTGCCATGATGGAAAACACTGGTAGGAGTGATGGATTAGGTCCACCAGTACGTTCGCACTGCACCACCCTCGCTGCCACTCTCAGTACGCTGCAGCCATGTGGACAACAGGAAGCTAAGAAGCCTCACTGACCTGAGCTGCCAACTACTGCTGGATGAGCCCATTGGTCTTGTCCCCTTTGTCACAGCCTCATTGCAGTCTGCACCAACCTCCATGCATGAGGGGTGGAATGCCTGTAGTGGGGAGCCTTCTCTGCCCAAGTAGGGCACAGTCAGGATGGCAGGCTCCCCGCTGCAAACAATAGCCCTCATTTCATTGAGGGAAGCAGCAACTGGCATGGTAGAAGGGGCAGGGGCAGCATGCTCATTCCTGCTCTACCCCTTATGTGACTGAAGAAGCCTAATAATTATCTACGTATTGACTAAGATGGGAAGATTGCAAACTACAGTAATCAAATGACAACCCCCTTGCAAATTGGCCATGTGAATCCTCAAGCAGACCATTGTAAAAAGCCAAGCTGCAGTTTACAATCTGTGATTTCTTTCTTTTTTGCTGTGCTTTGTTTTCCTCTTAGGAAAGATAATTGCTTTGAAAGCAATTATTAAATTATTGCAATGTTACAAAAAAAAAGCACCACACAATTAACTTGCAGGGGAAAGTTGGCACAGGGAAAAAAATTAGTCAATTGGATCTCTAATTGTTGTGTTGGTGAGACAGCGTGTATGTCAACTGCATAGCCTGAAGTCTTGGAAGAGAACTGTACCCTTTTCAAACATATTCACAAGTGCTAGGTAATCAAACCACTTTCATTGGAGACTCAAAATAATCAGGGGAAACAAATAAGCAAGCAGTTTTAGACCAACTGCAAGAGTGCAAAGAGGTGCCAGGAAGTGTTGTGTCCTGATAGTTGCAGCTCATTCCCTCGTTTGCATTAAGAAATTTTCTCCTATAGGGTTTCCATACTCTGGTCCATAGCATGCTTAGACAGCAGTGGTCTCATTATCTGGAAGCTGAAGGATGGACAAGCACAGGAGTCATAGAAAAGGACGTAAGAATTTTTTGTAGCCATGGAAATGGGCTGAATAAGGGCTATCAGCAAGTTATTTATTCATTATGCTACAGTTATTTAGAGAGGCACACACACAGCATATTGGATTGAGAAGTGTGAATTAGGTGGTTTCTCATTAAAATGCAAACAGACTCAATGTTCTCCCCCAACCCTACTTCTGAGTAAACCTGCATGTGTTTGCACTGTGCTTCTATGGTATGCAAGAAGAAGAAGAAGAAGACTTTGGAGTATGAGTATTATTGCCTATATGGATAATTGGCTTAATTTTGAAACAACACCCTGATTTTTCTTTCCCCTTTAACTATCAGATATTGTTTCAAAGCAAAACTATCAGATTCCTGTTTCAAAGCAAGGCTACTCAGCACAAAGACATACCTTTTCTATGCAGTCATAAAGTTGCAGTGTCAAATTCGAGACATTATCTCTTTTCTATGGCAACAGGCAGGTATCAAAGCGAGAAAATTAGGCTTTCCTGGCAGGATCAAGCAGCAGGAGAAGCAAAAATGTGAGCTGATGGAAAAGGCACTCATCCTGATGCAAATTGCTTCAGTAATAAACAAGACAAAAAGGGGAGGGAAGCCCAACTGCTGGGATAGTAAATTGCTTGTTGTTGAGGATTTTTGCAGGTTTGCCTGTTGTGACAGTTCTCCATGTGAATGAAGCCATGTGACTTCATGTCTCTTGCATTGTTTCCCTGCTATATAAATAAAGAGAAGCAGCAATTTTGACTTATGCTGATGTCCACATCACACATTTCCATAGTCAAATGTATACTTGTGTGCTAGATCTTCTGCAGTGCAGCTACAAAAGAGAAACAATTATGGCTTTCCCATTGCCCATTGTAGTTAACGTGAATAAAAGCATGAGAAAAGCCTGCTGGATCACGCTAGTGCTGCATTTAGTTGAGCATCCTATTCTCACTGAGACCCTACCTGCCCATAGGGTGCAGGTGGCACTGTGGTCTAAACCACTCAGCCCCTTGGGCTTGCCAATCAGAAGATCGGCTGTTTGAATCCCCATGACGGGGTGAGCTCACGTTGCTCGGTCCTAGCTTCTGCCAACGTAGCAGTTCAAAAGCACACCAGTGCAAGTAGATAAATAGGTACCACTGTGGCGGGAAGGTAAAACGGCATTTCCATGCGCTCTGGCTTCCATCATGGTGTTCCGTTGCGCCAGAAGTGGTTTAGTCCTGCTGGCCTCATGACCCGGAAAGCTGTCTGTGGACAAACGCCAGTTGCATATTCAGACCTTTCAACCTCCCCCTTAAATAAATTCAGACAAGACTCAAATTTTGGTTTGTTTTTTGGCAGAATTTAGGCCACAACTTTATTGATTACAGCAAGTGAGTGGTTGCCTAGGCTCTGGTTCAACTAGCTCCCTGCACCGTTGCAGGTAGCGCTGACCCAGGGCACCAGCATAGGTCAGCCAAGGGTGAACACCTGGATAGCCAGAAAGCCAGGAACAGGCTATGTCCACCACCCAGATGTCCCCCTAGACTCAGCCACAGGCACAACCCCCTCACAGGTTGACCAAACCATTGAGTCCTTGGATTCCTTTAACAGAATACCCTTCACATAGGGATGGCAAGAGCATTCCCCCATCCCTATCACCTGAACCAGAGCCTATCCGAAACCTTACGAGTTGTGACGATTTGCTATGTGGCAGGCGACACCCAAATGGCACCAGCCAATCAGCCAAGTGGGGGAAATTCCTGCCGTGCCCCTGTCCCAACGACAGATGACACACGATGACATAGCAAGGTCAAGCGCACAGCCCTAAAACTAGGGAGAGGTGGACAGGTGTTCTGATGCACGCACTGAAAGAAGAAACTCTGGGTCATGTGCATGGGTATATATAGGTCCCTTGATCTGTTCAGCATCCCATTGGCCTAATTAAACCTAGCATCAAGGGACCTACCAATTGGGTGTTGTGGCTATCCAATCACACCCACCCACAACACAGGGTTTGGTTGCAAGGTCTCGCCGCAACACGTGCCCTCTTTAAGGGAGGACCCGATCTCCCTTGGCCTGAAAGCAAGATGAGTGCTGCAAGCCCATAGTTGCCTTTGACTGGACTTAACCATCTAGGGGTCCTTTACCTTTTACCTTCTTACCTGTCCATGCATTGTCTCAGCAGAGTGGTACATGCTCTGGTATATTGGCTGAACACGAGACACTTAATCTCAGGGTCATGGGTCCAAACCCTACGTTGGGCAACAGATTCCTGCATTGCAGGGGGTTGGACTTGATGACCCTTGGAGTCCCTTTCAGCTTCTAATAGGACTGAAATGTATCCATTGAATAATCCATGTAATTCTTAGTTCAGAGAAAACTGTAAGCTATCCTCCTCCTGGTGAGTATGTGAGTGTGCACATGTGTGATTAAAATGTTACACAGCCAAGTTTTGAATCCTCTTGGTGGCACCGTTGTACATTCTCCCACATCCCTTTTATCTGTCTTTAACTGAAGTGCATTATTACACTAAGTGCGGGGGGGGGAGCACTTTATTTCCCCCACCCACCCACTTCAGTTTTATATTTGCAAGATGGCAAAGCATTTATGGAACTTAGATTAGCTTTTTAAATGTTTTCCCTGTTAATTTAAGTTAATGTTGTAGCCCAAGCAACATAATTGCTTCTCACTTTGTTCTCTCCGAGGGAAAAGAAGAAGAAGAAAAACCCTGATGATTGCCAAACTTTATTCTCTCCCTTATAACAGTAGGACATGGGAGTTAGTTTTAATTTCTTCCCCTTCTTTTCCCCTCCTCAGATTGAGCATGGAGAAAGGGTGTCCTGAGGAAATAATGCTCACTAACCTTTGCCCCCCATCCAGATCATAAGCTAATGTACCAAAGCAGGACCAGCCCAAGACATTTTGGCACATGAGGCGCACCACAAAATGGCGCCCCCTACCACCGCCATTTAACCTGGCTAGGAAATTCAACATTTACCAAACAAGTCTTGGTCTCAGAGAAAGCTAATCACAGGACAAAGATCAGCTGATGAACAGTGATGTAAAAGCTGTAAAAAAGAGGGGGTGAAGCAGGCACATGAGGGGAAGTGGTGGAGGGTTGTTGACGCTACTGCAGTGCTCCCAAAAAGGCCACCCTTTCTATGGTGCTGTTCTCACCTAAGCTAGAAATCACACACTCCATTGGTAAGAAGTAATGGGAGCGTTCCTGGGTCCTAGAAGAAAAATGGGGCATTCCAATGCTAATCTGGGAATAAATAAACACTTTGGTCATTTCAATAGGACCAAGCACGCACACAAACCATCCAAGCACCCACAGACCAGAAACAAAGTAAAAACCAGCAATTTCATATACAGTGGTACCACGGGTTACAGATGCTTCAGGTTACAGACTTCACTAACCCAGAAATAGTACCTCGGGTTAAGAACTTTGCTTCAGGATGAGAAGAGAAATTGTACGGCGGTGGCAGCAGGAGGCCCTATTAGCTAAAGTGGTACCTCAGGTTAAGAACAGTTTCAGGTTAAGAATAGACCTCCAGAATGAATTAAGTTCTTAACCCGAGGTACCACTGTAGGGCATTTAAATCTTAAAACAGGACACCCTCCCTCCCTTGCAGTCAGACATGTTTATTTCTGAGTAAATGCACTTTAAAAACATACAGTGGTACTTCTGGTTACGAACTTAATTCATTCTGGAGGTCCATGCACTGATCCACACACACACAAAACGAATTCACGCACAGGTGTCTTCCCAAAACCCATCCCAAACCCCCAAAATGTGTTTATGGAAGACAATCTTACTTGGCTACGAGTGATCACCGAAGAAGAAGAGAAGAAAGAGAAGAAGAGTTGAGATTCCTGCATTGAAGGGGATTGGACTCTCACGGTCCCTTCCAACTCTATGTTTCCAACCATCCCTGAATGAATCAGTAGTTGAGAATGAACGAGAAGCTGCTTCCTAATTCACAAAGAGCTTTCAACAGTTCCCCAGCAGTAGCTGTTATGATGATGACTGCTTAGCATCTTCTGTCCCACTTCAGTTTAATCAGTGGTGAACACTTGTTGTCCTTGATTCTTCCCTCTCTTTGTGGGCCTGTGTTAGATGTCTCTTAATGGTTCTCATTCTAGCACCTTACTACGGTTGCCAAGCTTTAATCTTTCTTCCCTCAAGATCTGCAGAGGCGTTAATCCACAGCACTGTGAGTTAATGGTTGTTCTACTGAATTCTGTTTTGATGGGCTTCCTTTGTACTCCCAATCAGTAGCCTACACTTAAAATACAGGCAGTGTGGTAGGCAATTATGTATGGCACTTGAGCTTAGTACATTCCCTTGAATGGAAAGCTTTGCAGTAGGATGGGCAACCTTTTCCATAATGACTATTTTTGAAAAGCTATTGCGGTTTTTATGTGCTATTTCTATTCTAGTATTTGAGACATTTAAAAGGGGAGGGGGAGCAGGTGGCCTTCCATGAAGAAAGTTTTGCACAAGAATGGTTATTTGAGGTCACCATTTTGTTTTTATAGCTTTAAACCCTTGCCTTTCAATGAGAGAGAGAATGAGAGAAATTATTTGTGTGCTAAACATGTAGGCAACTGACTTATGGATTACCATAGGTTAGGGTTTTGGTCAGTACTGGATTTACATATAAGCTAAACAAGCTATAGCTTAGGGCCCCACTCTCTTGGCAGCCTCAAAAAAAAAAAAAAATTAAAGGAGAAAAAAACCTGGATGTACATTTCCAAAATATGAGATAAAAAAACCAAATAAAATAAAACCTACATTCAGCAACAGTGTTTTGTGTTGTGTAGGCTTCTTCTTAATTGTATTTCAGTTCAACAATCACTTTGATAAAATACATATTTTTTTATGTGCGAATGGCTTTAGATACCTATTAGGTCCATAAATTACCATATAGCATATATTCAACACAAGAAACAGCGACAATTTGTTGTTGACAAAGGACAGCTGGACATATAAAGGGCCCCATTACCTTCAGTAGCTTAGGGCCTCATCAAACCTAAATCCGGCCCTGGTTTTGGCCACCTCATGCAGCTGAGCTGCAGAAGCATCACATGGTGTTGTCAGATGGAAGCATTGGATATGGGATGCAAATGGAGCAAATCCTTCTGTATTGATCCAGAGAAGCGTTCCAGCTGTGGATGGAGGCCTTAAGCCTTGAATCGAGAACACAGGGAAGTATCACTGGAATGGAATAACTGGTTCTCACTCTTAGGTTCTTTAGGAATATAGGGAGTTGCCTTAAACCAAATCAGAGTATTGGCCCATCTAGTTCAGTATTTCTTACACTCACTGGCTGCAGCTCTCCTGTGTTTCAGACAGAGGCCACTTTCCCAGCCCTGCCTTGAAAGGCCAGCGATTGAACCACGGATTTTCACATAAAAGTCATGTGCCGTACTTTGGAGCTATGGCCCTTTCCTGTACAATAAGTTGCCTTGGAGGGACTGAAGCAATGTCAAAAGCAGCTCTTCCTTTCTGCAAAGGACCAATGGATCACCACACTGCTCTGAGCTGTAGTCTTATATGGTGTGAGGAAATGCCCTAATCATTGCATGAGTGCACAACTGAATGTGGCTCAGATGCAAGTGTGGTGGTGGTGCCCAGTACCTTGGAGGAGTTATAAAAAGTTAGAGAGAAGCAGCGTGGAATGGGGAGGACTAAATACAATCCTGTCCACTAGAGCACAGATTTTCTTTGTGCATGTTTGCACTACTATCATTTCCTTATTTTATGTGGGCTTTGGGTTTGCTACAGAATTTTGGGTTTGCTACAGAATTTTGCCTAGATCCCAACATTAAAAAGCTAAAGGTAAAGGACCCCTGACAGTTAAGTTCAGTCACGAATGACTCTGGGATTGTGGCGCTCTTCTCGCTTTACTGGCTGAGGGAGCCGACAATTGTCCGCAGACAGTTTTTCCGGGTCATGTGGCCAACATGACTAAGCTGCTTCTGGCAAAACCAGAGCAGCACACGGAAATGCCGTTTACCTTCCCACCGGAGCAGTACGTATTTATCTACTTGCACTTTTGGCTTGTTTTCAAACTGCTAGGTTGGCAGGAGCTGGGACCGAGCAACCGGAGTTCACCCCATTGCAGGGATTCGAACCGCCGACCTTCCGATCGGCAAGACCTAGGCTCAGTGGTTTAGACCACAGCACCACCCGCGTCCCTAGATCCCAACATTATCAGCTGCCAAAGAGACAGAAATAATGCTGAAAGGAATTCATCACACAGAGACACACTAATATGTTATAGTCATGGGAATAGACATGACTGCCAAGAGCATCCTTGGGCAGCAGCCAGGCCTCAACATACTGCAAGGACCCACCATCAGTCACAGTTCTGTGCTGTTGCTTCTTCTCACCATCATTACCACATGCTTCAGTGGAGAATCAGCAACAGCAATGAAAAGTTGAGATGAAGAAGTGTTCAGTCACCTGCCTTCTTCCTTTGGGCAGCAACTAGGGTGACTGCTCTACCTCCTCATCTTCACTGCTTCCTATTCCACCCCCCTTTTAACCTGTTGTCTCCCTGAGTGAGCATGGAGTGTCACTGGTGATACCAGGCTGGCAAAAAATTACCCCTCCTTTTCCCCCTTTATGTTGGAAGAGCTGTTGGAAGCTTGGTTCATTTATTCATGTTTGGAGGGAATGGCCCCAGGTTAAAAACTTTTTGGAATAAAGTATTCTCCATTGTATCTGTAATTAAAGGCCAACTCCTTTCTCTAAATTCTGCCTTTATAATAATAATAATAACATTATTTTACCCCGCCCATCTGGCTGGGTTTCCCCAGCCACTCTGGGCTGCTCCTAACAGAATATTAAAAATGTGATAAAACATTAAAAACTCCCCTAAACAGGGATGCCTTCAGATGTCTTCTAAAAGTCAGATAGTTGTTTGTCTCCTTGACATCTGATGGGAGGATGTTCCACAGGGTGGGTGCCACTTCCGAGAAAGACCTCTGCCTGGTTCCCTGTAACCTCATTTCTTGTAGTAAGGGAACCGCCAGAGGGCCCTCAGAGCTGGACCTCGGTGTCTGGGCTGAGTGATGGGGGTGGAGATGCTCCTTCAGGTATACTGGGCCAAGGTCATTTAGGGCTTTAAAGGTCAGCACCAACACTTTGAATTGTGCTCGGAAACGTACTGCTGGATAAGTGTTTAATGGTTATTGTATTTGTTTAAAAGCCAATACTATATAAATATATATGAAATATATGTCATTATAACAGTCTTTGTTGCTTAAGGAGTATAGTCTATCACTGGCATCTTACCTCAGGCTCTCCAAAACCTGGAGCCAGACCTGATTTTGGCATTTTCTGGATTTGTCTCACCTATTTTTTCTCTAATGCTTTGTCATCTTATTCTAGAAGTCTCAGACCAGCTCCTTCAGGCAACTGTGACAGAAGTTTTAGAATCCATTTACATCACTGGTTACTTAAGGTCATTCTATGGTCACCTTAATCAAGCTTTGACAAGGACAACCTGCATTTTATTCACATAATGCTTTAATTAGACCTGGATTTAAATGGAGTTCTGGAACCGCACAAAGCCCACTTCAAACTCTTCAACTTGAGCAGGTTGTGGGGAAAAGGCAATTAAACGGTTTGCCACGCCATTGTTTCGAAGAGCTGATAACCTTGACAGAGAAAGCAGCAACATGCAGCAAATAATAAAAGCTGGGTTTCAGCTAATGGAAAATGAAGTGTTCTTAGTTTATCTTTCTAGGTCACTCATGAGCAAAGCTGTCCAAAACGGGGGTGGGGGGGGGGGGCTATTCAACTTCGACGGGTAAAATGCTGTTAAATTTGCTCCAAAAACAAACCAGAAAAACAAGGTACTCTGTTGTTTCCCTGAAACGCATGCAAATTCTTTGGCTTTTTTTCAAAAATCCATTCCCACAACAGCACCTCTTCTTCTAAGCCTCCTAGCCACATTGGGCTATGGAAAGCAATCTTTATCATGGTCAGAGCTTGTTGGGGAAGGGTTAAACCAGGAATGGGGAACATCTGAACCCCCCCTCCAGTTGTTGCCAAACTATATTCCCATCATGCCTGACTACTGGGCATGGAGATGGATTCCAATTGCACCTGAAAGGCAAGAGCTTCCTCACTCGTAGGATAAATGGATGGAATTGTTTTCCATGCCTGTAACTAAATAAGGATAAACACAGGCACAGTTTCATGCTATGCATTTAGCAAAAGCTACAACCTTGATGGCAGAAAGTAAGGGGGAATTAAAGAACCTTTTAATGAGGGTGAAAGAGGAGAGCGCAAAATATGGTTTGAAGCACAACATCAAAAAAACGAAGATCATGGCCACTGGTCCCATCACCTCCTGGCAAATAGAAGGGGAAGAAATGGAGGCAGTGAGAGATTTTACTTTCTTGGGATCCATGATCACTGCAGATGGTGACAGCAGCCACAAAATTAAAAGACGCCTGCTTCTTGGGAGAAAAGCAATAACAAACGTAGACAGCATCTTAAAAATCAGAGACATCACCTTGCCAACGAAGGTCCGTATAGTTAAAGCTATGGTTTTCTCAGTAGTGATGTATGGAAGTGAAAACTGGACCATAAAGAAGGCTGATTGCCGAAGAATTGATGCTTTTGAATTATGGTGCTGGAGGAGACTCTTGAGAGTCCCATGGACTGCAAGATCAAAGGAAATCAGCCCTGAGTGCTCACTGGAAGGTCAGATCCTGAAGCTGAAACTCCAATGCTTTGGCCACCTCATGAGAAGAGAAGACTCCCTGGAAAAGACCCTGATGTTGGGAAAGACGGAGGGCACAAGGAGAAGGGGACGACAGAGGACAAGATGGTTGGATAGTGTTCTCGAAGCTACCAGCATGAGTTTGACCAAATTGCGGGAGGCAGTGGAAGACAGGAGTGCCTGGCGTGCTCTGGTCCATGGGGTCACGAAGAGTCGGACACGACTAAACGACTAAACAACAACAAATGATTTGATCATCAACCTGTTTCTTCCCCACAAAGGTTCACACTATGCCTTGCTTTCAATAGTTGCAGTAAGCCAAGTAAACCAAAATCTGATGTAACATTAGTTTTGCATGTCAGAAGAGGTAAATCTGACCTTGGGCAGATGCTAGGAGAGTTTTGTCAAACTGGTGCCCTCCATATGTTTTGGTCTACAATTCCATGCTGGCTGTGGCGGATGGGAGTTGTTTTAGACTACATTAAGCAGGGGCACCTGCTTAATGAAGACTGTCCTAGAGGAACAAAACTAAAACCGGCAAACAGGGATGGATGGACCAGCAATTTCAGTTCTGTCAGTTACGCAGTTTCCCAATATTAAATGCAGTTCTCCACTTTTCTGCAGCAATTCGCTTTAAAAAAGTATTCACCAACTAATAATAATAATAATAATAATAATAATAATAATAATTTATTTATACCCCGCCCATCTGGCTGGGCTTCACCAGCCACTCTGGGTGGCTTCCAAAAAAATATTAAAATACTGTAATACATCAAACATTAAAAGCTTCCCTAAACAGGGCTTCCTTCAGATGTCTTCTAAAAGTCTGGTAGTTGTTGTTCTCTTTGACACCTGGTGGGAGGGCATTCCACAGGGAGGGTGCCACTACCGAGAAGGCCCTCTGCCTGGTTCCCTGTAACTTGGCTCCTCGCAGTGAGGGAACCACCAGAAGGCCCTTGGTGCTGGACCTCAGTGTCCGGGTAGAACGATGAGGGTGGAGACGCTCCTTCAGATATACTGGACCGAGGCCATTTAGGTCTTTAAAAGGTCAGCACCAACACTTTGAATTGTGCTTGGAAACTTACTGGGAGCCAATGTAGGTCTTTCAAGACCAGTGTTATATGGTCTCGGCGGCTGCTCCCAGTCACCAGCCTAGCTGCCACATTCTGGATTAGTTGTAGTTTCCAAGTCACCTTCAAAGGTAGCCCCACGTAGAGTGCATTGCAGTAGTCCAAGCGGGAGATAACCAGAGCATGCACCACTCTGGCGAAGCAGTTTCTCATAGTAAACAGGTTTTGTATGCCACACAAACACACATTTGAGCAAAGCAAATGTAATGCGTATTTTGAATTTGATTTTCACTAATAGATGCATGTTTATGTACACTTTACCCTACTTTCACTTATTTATACACATTACTTTGCTGGTGAACTGCACTGCAAAATTCAGAGAAGTGTGAATTTCAAAGGATGGCCACATTTTGGTCCATATATCGTTTCAAAAGTTTTGGATTTCTTAGGCCTACCTTTTAAATATGACCCAGTTCAAATTTCTCCCCCAAACCTGTTGGCAAAACAGAAACCTGCACTAGTAGCTCCTTGCACAGATTATTGGGCGCAGAGAGATGATGATAATCCACAATGGATTATCCTCCTGAATTATTCTGAGACCTAATTGGAGCATTTACATGAAAAATTGCTCTCCTTGCTCATCTTCACGCTACCAGGGAAGGTAAACCATTTTTAAATTATGAAGGGAGAATACAAAGAGTGTATGAACCACCTGCTCATATTTTGGACTCAAAGTGTTTATTTTTCATGGCATCTCTTTGGTGTAGATGTCATCCTTCATTTTCCCCCTCTTGCAGTGGTTGATTGGTGGAGAAAAGAATCAACGTATAAAAGCTTTACTTTGGGGAGATCTGCTTTAATGTTACAACAGATGCCATCAATCTGCTCCCTTTTAATGAGTTGCAGTGTGAGTCCCTCAGAATTAATTATCTCCCGACAAATATTAGCCTGTTCTTTATTTTTATTTTTCTCTGCTAAGTGCCGAGTACAAAAAAAGTAATCCTGTGGCATCAAACAATTATAAAACAAGAACAATGTGCAATACTTCTGTTGTTGTTGTTTTGGATAATGTCCTTGAACCGTATCTTTGTTTGTAGAACAACAGTTCCACTTGAAGGACCCAGTTCTCACAAATGTCACGCTGAAATTTAAAATGAAATTATAATTGGATGTAATCTCACCCAAGCAATAGAGGCCTCTGTATCTTTTCTCTTATTGCCCACTCTAATTTATTGAAAAAGATTTATTGAGGAAAGATTGATGGATTGTTTCCCCACCTCTAAAAAGCATTTTCATGTGTGTGTGTGTGTTTAATTCAGAGAAAGTTATGGGTCTTTTTTTTAAAAAAAAAAAGAAGAACAAAACCCCTGAAAACCCTGTTTTTCTTCTGTGTACCATACCATAATGAACAGTGCAATCCTTGGGACTTATTCCCATGTAAGAGTAGGATTGCAACCTAAAAGTAAGAAAAAGAGCATCAAAACACTAAAATAGCTATTGTTACAAAAATTGGGTGTCTCCCCCTCTCTCTGCTGAGCGGAGGCAAGAGTCCATGGGATTCCAGGCACTCACCCATGTTTCTTTGGAGAATTGAGAAATGGCAGAGACTGTCATAGCTTTAAGAAATTTAGTTTATTCACCTATTTACACCTTCAGTCTGAATGGAGGGAGCCCAGACATAACAGCATGGTCATTTCAAGAGGGGCTTCTCCCCCACAGCAGTGAAGCCATGGAGTCTGAGGCATCTCTTCCAGCTTGCCTTCAGCCAGTCTGCCCAAAATGGATCCCAGTCTTTTCTCCTCCTCCTCCTTCCCAGCAACCCTTGCTCAAGACTCCCTTTTCCTATCTCCTCAAACACACATCCCATCCCCTTGGCAACGTTTGTCTCCCCAGGCCAAAGGATTGCTCTCAGGTGGCCCATCAACACTTTTTGTCATGTTAACAGATTTGCTGTTTTGCATAAGCCAGGCCAGGGCGGAGTTCTGCAGCTTGTACTTTCATCCATATCTCAATAAATCAAAATCCTATCATTTATTAATTTCTTGGCTTTAGCTCCCCCCCCCCCAAAAAAAACCACACACACACTCTAACACTATTTATTAATTCAGGTAGGTATCCGTGTTGGTCTGATGCAGTCAAAATAAAAAAATAAAAATAAAAAAATTGTCCAGTAGCACCTTAGAGAACAACTAAGTTTGTTCTGGGTTCAGGTAGGTAGCCGTGTTGGTCTGATGCAGTGGAAATAAATAAAAATTAAAAAATTGTCCAGTAGCACCTTAGAGACCAACTAAATTTGTTCTGGGTATAAGCTTTCATGTGCATCCACACTTCTTCTGGACAATTTTTTAATTTTTAATTTATTTATTTCGACTATTTATTAAGTTGCATCACCTTGCCAACAAAGGCCTGTATAGTTAAAGCTATGGTTTTCCCAGTAGTGATGTATGGAAGTAAGAGCTGGACCATAAAGAAGGCTGATGGCCGAAGAATTGATGCTTTTGAGTTATGGTGCTGGAGGAGACTCTTGAGAGTCCCATGGACTGCAAGATCAAACCGATCCATTCTTAAGGAAATCAGCCCTGAGT